AGCCGTCTGTAGCCAAGGTTAGTAAACAAGACATTACAATGAATTGTCTCCCGCACCGAGTCCTGCTTTCAGAACAGCTGGAATGCTGATGTTTCTGCCATCGGAAGGAATCCGTGGTTGGCCAATCTGGTAAAGACGTACAGTGAGTTATCCGTTTGTTATGGTTACTTAGCTTAGCAAGGAAGCATACATACGTATTCAAACCGGGGCATGGCCCACGAGCATCTGTTGGCTTTGCAGGCTCAAACTGGTGTTTACTCCAGTCAACAAGATTGTGAGGGTCGGTCGAGCTAACTCCACCAATGAGACACGTCGCTACGACAGTGACAGAGATGAGTAGAGATTGAAGTTTCATGACACCGTATGGCAGAGGAAAGAAGTCCTTTTTGGTGACAAAAACGACAAAACTTGAGGGTTTATATACCTGGTCCGAGTCTCATAATCAACCCTTCCGTTGGACAGCTATCTATGCGGTTTCAAGAAATTGCAAGACGACTCAGGGATTTCAACTGCAGCTAACATATCTGCTGTAATCTGATCGACTTTCCATTGGAGGCTTTCCGTCGGCATTTCGCCAATAGTATAAAATGTATTGTACGTTCACGGTCATTCTCCACCGTGATGTCTCAAGGTGTTGAATATTAGCCTTGTGTATTGAGTTGAAGCCCGTGGTATGACGATAATTCGGATTTAGTATGGCAACAACCGACGGGATGAAATGTTTATCATTCACACTGATAAGCACCTGGTCCCCATCATGATTGAAATCATGAGGCTCAGGTGCATCTCTGCCGAACGTCGGCTCATTTTCGGTCGGAAAACAATCAACTTCAAATGCAGCCGAGATCAGCGAAGACTCGGAGCCTCGAACTCATACTACTATTGTATGTATATACTAAACACTTTGTGCTACTATACATTATTGTCCCCAATTTTGTCTTTCATACCCCCAACCCTCTCCAGTCATGCTACAGAGCACGTAGCTCCCTCTGAATTGATTATATACATACGTTCGATACGTATCTCTTGGAAGAGGTAAGAACCGTTCCACTTTCTGCCATCTCCGATCCTGCTTCAGCAATCCAACGTCTCCAAACGGACACGCCTCCATAACAACAAGCACCAGTTCTTCATACTGAGGTGAATTCTACGCACACGCAACTCGTTAATCAATTTTAAACCTCACAAACGAAAATGTTGGTAATCACTCACCACCACATGCCCCCCATCCCGTAGATACCCATGAAAATGCTGTTCACTGGAGCTGGAGCCTTGAACAGTCCCACTCATAGAAAGATACACAGGTCCAGGATCCAAGACACTATACAACGCCATCAAACTCTCGTTCCATTGTATGTCTCTGCTACTCGCAGGAACAATGTCAACCCCCGCCACCGACACCCGTCGATCAAATACCTCAAACCTCGCTTCGAACCCCCGAGCACTGGTTACGTATCCAAAAACCTCTCGATGAACAAAAAACGATCCGCAAATGTGGATTTTGCGTAAACGCGGCATCATTGTTGGATTAACTAGGTGCGTGAAGAATAGCCACCCAACTGGTGCTCGGAGCATCGTCAACTCTTCGATGTTGGTTAGGTGAGGTAGTATGAGGTTGACTAGGATAGCGTCCATAGGTGGAAATCGACCCAACACGAGGGATTTGAGATCAGGTAACACCTTCACGAACCGGGAATATTAGGTGTGGTGATGTTGATAATGTCGATGTGGACGTGTCGAAGGGAAGGGAAAGTGAGATCATTGAATTCGATGGGCCATGCGTACACTTTTATGGTATGGAGGTGATGAAGTGTGGTCAGGACTGGTGTTTGCCATATTGTAGCGGCGAAGGGGAGTGATAGATACTCCAGACGGTGCATTTGGGATATGAGCGGGAACGGTGATTGGGTTATATGAACGGGGATAGAGGAACCTTTGATAGTGAAGGTTGTTAGACGCTGCAGGACCTCATCAGGAATACCATGATTATGAGAGTACGGGTAACTTCCGAGATGGAGAGTGTGGAGTTGGGGCAGTGAGCCGATAACAGTGAAAAAGTCGTGAATGCTTTTTGCGTTCATTGGACCGGAGAGCGTCATACGCTCGAGGTTGGACATGGCGCCTGGACGACAAGGCCAGGGGAAGGTAAAGATAGACGAAGAGTCTGAGGAACGACAGAATTGGAAATCTAACGACGTCCAGTTTTGGGGTTTGGTCCCCGTGATGAGCGTTTGAAGCATCTGGAGTACGCAGGATTCCCCGAGTGCAAACTCGATATGGAATTTGATAGAAAGACGTTTGTTCTTTGCAAGTGGCACAGTTGCACCTAGAAGGTTATTGATGTAGTCGGTAAAGACGTGAGGTAATCCTGATGTCAGGATGTGTGGCGGAAACTGGGAGTCCCTGATAATGATACTCGTCCATAAATCTGGTGTTGCGAAAGCGATTTCGCGCCATTTACGACATACAAGCGCCAGGTTCCAGGGTGTATCGGTGAATAGAGAGGTGGCGAACTCGTTGCGACTTTGTTTGAATATCTCGGTTAACAATTCAACCGGAAGGATGTTTATCGATGCTTTGGGAGTCGGATATTCCATCTAAGAGTTTTTTGAGCAAAGAACTGGGTTATGACAAGACTCGAGCTTACCTTTTCTTTTCGTTGCATGAGAGCCCCAGGAACGGAAGAAGGACAGGTCCTCGTTTTATACTTGTCCGACTGGCCATTGTCTTCCAGATTTGGTAATCATTCTGGTGGGCAATGCATTGATCATCGAAGGCCACGGCACTAACGGGACTATTTCCACGGGAAGCGTTGTGAGCAACAGATACGATAACAAGACTTACGAAGGCTGCGGATAGTGTATCTATAACAATCCATACGAAAGGCATCTGACGTTCCCCAACCGTCTTGATGATGGGAGTCGGAAAGCAAAGACCTAAGCGCCTATGCTCGGCATGAAGTAACGGAAAACGCCGGCAGGATGAGGGCGTCAAGCGCTACAGTACGTTAAGCGCTCTGACCCGGAAGAAAGCAATTGTTACTCTACGGTCCTCCTTTCCTTTTGCGAACACATACCTCAGCTGCGGGGATTGTGTTAACTGAAGAATGTAGATGAGATGAGAGAGGATGAGAGTCCTCAGCCACATATTCGTTTCACGAGACTCGTGCACGGTGTCAATAACTTCATTTCAGTAGTGACGATGAAATCTGAAATGTTGTTGCCAAGTGCTGGTACACACCGTCAGATTACTGGCCCTGGTAGTATAACGGTCAGTACATGCGCGCATCTATGAGAATGACGCGCCAAAGCAGGGTTCGAATCCCAGTCAGGGAGCTCGATCATGAAGAATGTAGTTTTTGGCTTCATTTGGATGCTTATAGTGATCTAGGCCTCTAATGTATTCGACAATTTGGGTTCCTGTGCGTGTCTTTTTACAACAATAGTTCGAACCTCATAATCTTGACGTTTAGAGTACCACACTCAATATTGATTGGCAATAACAATTGCATTAAATCGTAAACGTCAAGTAATGTTTCCAGGGGTATCCACCATAATTAACGCGTGCACCGATCCATTAGTACGTCTATGACCATCCCATCTCCTTAAACATTGACATCAACGGGGGTGCATCCAATAGCAACGACACCATCTTGAAAGGAATTCAGCGTTGAGCAAAGCGAAATGATAAAGAGAACTAGTGATCTTACTGAAGTTGTTATCTTCACAGCAGACGGGCTGAGCAGCACTGTAAATTATGCATTATGCATGAGTATCCTAGATTTCAAACCTAGACTGAAATCTAGAAAGTACGAACCAGGATGTTCCACTAACACCAATGACAGTGATCGGGTCACATTGAAGGCCAATGGGTACGTTCACATCTTGAACAATTGCGCCCACAAGTGCGAGTTGATCCTTGGCCTCGGGGGAGCCAGCCTTTGCGACATTGTCACCTGTGAAAAGGGTTAATGGTTGCGCTGGGCTCTCAACGATAGAAAGACTCACAGCATTGGAGTTTTCCTACGTCGCACTGGCTAGCGGGCTTGCCCGTGGCCGTAACCAGGAGTTGGTGTGGCGGCCGCAAGAGAGGCGAGGGCAGCGACGATGATGGCTTTGTACATGATGAGAGAGCTTGAACGAGTGATACTGTGTTCGAGTGAAGAATTGAGGAAGGTATTGCGAGGTTTTTATATGATTTTTTGGTGTGCTGTAACTCCCTATTCCGAGTCTTGCTCAACAGCTTCAAGTTCAAGTTCTTTCGCTTCGCTACAACGGGTCGGCATATACACGATTCAAACATTAATTTGACAGTGAGAATGGTGATCCGTGAAAATTTACATGTCAAGGGTGATGTGATCAATGATGTTTGGTGTGAAATTCGCTAATGGGATATAGGAGACTGATGGCATTCAAGCTTATTTGGATGATTTTTGAATATGTCACTGGACTCGCATCGTGAGCAAAGTTGTATATCGACTAGGGCTCCATTTTTCAGCCAGATGATTTGCAGAGTTGGGTGTTTGAAAGCGTTCAATACTTTAGCTCCACCTTCCCGACATCGTAAGAGTTTGAGCCGTCAAATTAAGAGTTATTCAATTTACATCCGAACAGAAGACGTCGTCCAAAGGTGTGCATGTATCCGCACCTATTTTAGTTTGGTGGCGCGCTTAAGCATTGGTTCTTGTCGATTTGTTGCGGAGTTTGAAGCACGAGAATACACTTGAAGGGATCCCGCCCCGCGCCGAATAAGAAGCGCATCAAATTTGGAAGCATTGTGGCGAACAGGAAACGAAAAAGGAAGGCGAAACTTGCAAGGCGAACAGAAGCAAGAAATCATGATGTTAATCGCGTCTACATCGAAGAGATGAACAATGGGATCATCAGCATCCACGGAATTCGAAGACTGCTCGAGTACACAAGGCTCATCCCTGGTAGTTGTTCGCCGTTCCACGGTAGAAGCGGATCCGATAGATTCATGTCCTCAGAATAAAGGATGTATCCCTGGTAGTACATTGGTTAGTACACCCGCTTATCATGAATGCAACTGAAGTTGCGCGCGTGAAATTTGGGTTAGACTCCCAGCCAGGGAAGTAATCCCTGCATCTAGTGTTTTAGTGCTCGCTCTGGTAGTATGGAATGGAACATTCAACACTGTTAGCCGATCTGGATACCTTTGAGCAGAGGATAAAATGATTGAGGGATATTTTCAATTTTGCATCAAGGTTTGATTCCGGATGACGGGCATTAGATACATCCCCTGGTAGTATATCGGTTAGTACACGCGCCTGTCATCAATAGATATTGAAGGACACACGCCGCGCGAAAGCTGGGTTCGACTCCCAGCCAGGGAGGTCGTTCATTCGAGTACGAGTTTTAATTTAGTCCTTTTGTGAAGGTGTTCGTTAGCTGCTCTGATCAATAAGTCGTACGTATGAGCGCTAAGACGCGCGCTTTACAGAACCACCGATATATTGCAAACCCGGGGGAATGGTACAGTATAAAAGGAAGGTTTTGAATGAGTGTTCACGCTATAACTTGAAAGCCATGGAGTCATGAGAGCGCGGATGGAGGACATGGTGGTTAAAAGATTTGAATTCAATGATACCAGAACCTGATGAACAGTTATCACCGGTACACGCACCTGTCATGTGGCTAGCGATTACAGAACTTGAGAGTTTCAGTCAGGGAGCTTTGTGAGGGTGTCGCCATTTTGGATTCATTTGGAAGCAGGATTCTGATATAGCGTTGTGCACTTGAGTCGCAAATAAACCCTATTACGCTGCTGTTATTCTCAAAGGCGCGTCTGATCGATACACATGCCATTAGAGAGTGTATGTCTCCCTAGTGGTGTACCGGTTAGTACATGTGCTATTTGTAGCTTAGCTATTGGATCACCATACTATATGCGCGCGAATTGGGTTCGACTCCCAGACAGGGAGATACGGCTACCTCCTTTGACTTCCATATTTTGTTCGTTGGAGCTATACATTGGTGGAACACTCTGGGGTCGTATAGGATCGAGGGAGATACGGATACTTGGATCTTGGTGACGAGCATTCATTCTATCTATAAAACCAGAAGCTTTCCTTGCATTAGAGCGATACAAGCCTGAGGTTGGGTAATCGGTGAAGTTATCAGAGTGTAAATGGAGGACGTGGTTGTCATGGGACACGATGCTTTGAACAGACAAGCGTGATAGCAATGAAAGACCAACGTTAGTACGTATCCCTGGTAGTATATCGGTTAGTACACGCGCCTGTCATCCAAAAGTGTGAAGAAAACGCCGCGCGAAAGCTGGGTTCGACTCCCAGCCAGGGAGGTAACATTTGTACCATCATTGTGTACCATTTTGTGTTTTATCAGACGGTTCGCTGGTATGGGCGTCAATCATGAGGGAATGGTATGAAAGGAAAGTCTTGCAGAAGTAGCTACGGCGTAAATGAAGGACGAGGCAGTTATAAAACGCGACTTCAATGATACCGGAACTGAATGCAGAATGGATAGCTATCCCTGGTAGCATATCGGTCAGTACACGCATCCATCCGTGAAGATGGTGCGTGAAAGCAGGGTTCGAATCCCAGTCAGGGTGCTTCGTGAATGATACATGTAGTTTTTGGCTCCGTTTGGGGACCGAGTTGGAAGAGAATACTCGGAACGAAGTGTTCGACACTTTCCCGGCTGCGCGTTTTTCTAGCAGTAACATCCTGATTCCAGACACGAGTACCGTTTTCTGCATTGCAAACGAAGACCATCGTCCTGATATGTTCATGCCTTCAAGGTAAGGAGGTGTCTCTGGTAGTATACCGGTTAATACACGCGCTGTTCATAGTATGTGTAAATATCAGCTACGACGCGCGGAAGCTGGGTTCGACTCCCAGCCAGGGAGGTTCGTGTATGATACATACGGTTTTTGGCCTCATTCGGAAATGAATAGTCAACGGGTCGAAGTGGAATAGATTCATGTCATCAAGAGGAAAGGATATACCCCTGGTATATCAGTTCGTACATGTGCCGTATGTATAGCTTGGGGATGCTCACGAGCTGGGTTCGACACCTAGCCAGGGAGCTGGATTGGGCTGACTATTCCACCTGTTTTGTTCCTTCTCTAAGTTCGGGTGAAACGGTACCACTGGTTGAACGTTTTGACGTGGATTCTGAGGGATGTGTCGTTTTTCTCGTTAGTGTTGCACAGATATGTCTCTGAGGCTCAACGCAGGATGTAAGGCCTTCCTTGGATTAGAGCGATAAAGGGCTGGTGTGGCCAGTAGAGTTATAAGAGCGTAAACGAAGGACATGGTTGTCTTCGGGCGAGATGCTGTACTGCCAACTTCACGGGTTAATGAACGGGATGAGAATGGAGTAATACCAATTGTCCCCTATCCCTGGTAGTATATCGGTTAGTACACGCGCCTGTCATAGGGACATGTCGAGTACGGCCGCGCGAAAGCTGGGTTCGACTCCCAGCCAGGGAGATAACAAATGGTCTTTTGGGATTGCGTTTTGTTGGTTGTGTGATCATTGGGAACCGAGTTTGCTTCTCAACAACCATCACGATTGATGCTGGTACGCGTTCCATTCATCCTTTTTCTTCATGTCTTTTAGGTGCTCACGGTGTGGAATAGACGATTTATAGGCCTTTGTCCTGCGCGATGCGACTCTTACATCGTTGAGGCTTCCACGTCATCCTTCTGTCTCCCATACAACAATTCTTTCCCGTTTTCTTTCCTACTCGAACCACACCCTGAACGCGCTCAACGCCCGTGAAGGCCCGTTTTCTCGAACCACATCCCGAACAGAGCCTTGGGAGAGATGCTGTAGAGAATATGGATGATTTAGTGTCGGCGAGGGTTTCTTTTTTCGATGCACCAGAACCGAAATCGCACGCACCCAAACTGTTCGCTCTCACTCGCCGACGACAACATCGCCTCAGAAGACATTCCATTCCTCGCTCTCTTTTCCAGGGACACCAGGCGTTGGACAGTTCGTTTGCTCTGCATCTACGTTCGTCCCTTCACATCCCTTCACTCTCCACATCGCTTCCTCCGTACCTTACCCCTTTGACCCCAACACCAACGTGAAGTGTTCCATGCGTCTCAAGATCCCAATGTCTGGGTGCCACTCTATTCATCCTTTCTTTCAAACAAATTCTCATGTTTACCCTAGGCTCTTTGTCGTACGGCTGAGAGAAGCACCTACAACGAAGCACACTGCACGACTCTCCTCTCCTCTCGACAAGCTCCTTGTATCGGTACCGGCAGTGTGGATGTTTACGCTCCCTGTTGCATCCACTTGACCCTGAACCTCAGCTCTTCGACTCCCCCGCTTCTCAAAGCACCATCTCCTGCCAGCGCCGTGCATTCCATTCAGACTACTGTCGTAGAGATAAGGAACGACCGCGGCGTTTAACGGTTTCGGGCTCCAGTATCCACGTAGCTTCGCTTGCTGCTACGCACGTGCGGATGAGATGTGGATGTATCATTTATCCGTTTTCGGAATAGGATGGCTGAACGTGGCATCCTATTGCTATCCCCATCTTCTGTCAAGCCTGCTACCTACAAAACCATACTCCATCGACGATAACACGCAACCCTTCTCGAAGGCACCGAATGGCCTGGGTATACGCGTCATCCATACGTAAAAACACCCCACTCCCAACGCCGAAGCGAGATTTGACATTTCGTTTCCTTGACGTCTTGTCTCTCCACGTACACATACCCAGAAGCTCCATACCCTTTCAACCGCACCGCTCCAGGGAGGTGATAAGTTTGACCAGTCCTTTGCTCGACACACACCCCCGTTCCTCTACCCCCACATCAGAAGCCTCTATGTCATCGTCTCTTCCGTACACAACGCGGCTGTAACTCCGACTCTAGACGTTTTCGGTCTCCATGCATGCGCATCACCGCTGTCGGGGAAACGCAGCCTTTCAGCTTCCTTCTTCCTTCGTTGGCTCCACTCCAGGTCCACGTTAGGCTCCCAGATATCACCCCGGTGTCGAGGGCAGCCCTTCTTCATTCGCTTCACCTTTCCAGGGCCACGTTCCGTCACCTTAAGGACAGTTACCACCGTTGTGGTTGATCGATTACTCACGCTTCCTCTCTACCGGGGGGTATGAGCTCGTACATCGAAAAGGCTCACAACCCAATCCACCTTTCCTTACCTCCGCTCGCTCACAGCCAGCTTTTTTGGCGTTTCCATGTTCGGGCACAACGTACACTTGAGGGGCTAGGTTGAGGATAGACTGCATGGGCAGGAGATACATGATGAGTTGATGATGGGGTCAGAGAGGAAGTGAACGCTACATTTCGAGTGTCTACGACGAAGCTTTCACCTCTGGGTTTCGTTGTCTCATCATGGGGTATGGGGTAAGGCGATGCGTGGTCGTTTAGGTAAGCCACCCGTTCCTCGATGCGAGATGTGTTCGTTGCTGACACTCTATCCCTAGTCCTGCTCGCACCTTCAACCCGCTCTTCCACGTATGCAGTTGAAGAAGAGTTGGGGTTATTCTTTTTTTGGTCCTTGGGCAGTTTGGTGGATGTGAGAAGACGAGGAGAGATTGGGTAGCAAGGTTGTTCGCTGCCTCTACCCATATGTGGAACCGAGGACGTGTTCAGGTGAGCTTCGTTTCGAGATGATGATAACGAGGAGCTGACATCCTATTCCTAGCTCACCGATACCTTGCCACCTTTGACCTACACCCCCAAGTCTCTGTTCACGTTCAAACTTCACCTCATTGGCCACTCACCCCCGTCTATTCTCAACCGTCCTAAACTGAGCAGAGACTCTCGTTTTTGCGGAGAAGAAGCGTTTCGTCTTGAGCCTGATACTCTTCTTGGTCGAATGTTCCTTCCATTCTGGAGGTCGAACACGTTCCTCGGCGTGCTAGGAACGTCTGATCTCAGGAGTGTTGGAGTGTTCGTTCCATTGAGCCGTTATACTTTCGTTTCTCTACGAACAACACAATCGAATGCCATATCCCTCGTTTCATAACCCGACACCGAGGAAGCTTGGGGGTAGCCCACAGGAAATCGGCGTCAGGATACCACTACCTGTTCTTGGGGTAGTAGGCTCTTGGTGAGCTCTACTCACGTTTCTGTTGGTTTTCTCCAGCTTTAACTCGGTGTTTTGGTTCTAGGTGTTGTTACTTGTCACCTCTACCTCAAGCTTAGGACATGAAACGTCTCCTCGGCGTTCTGGAGAACGCTGTACTTCATAGGATATCTCATCAACATTGTCCTACTCTTTCTCCACTTCAAGCTCGGTAGAAGAAACAAGCGAATGACAAAGGATACTACACATGCACTCCTTCAGTGATGGGTACCACTTCGAACTTTTTCGATGTCCACTTCCATACGCCAGAGTCGGGTCTTCGAATGATGTACCTCACCGCATGTCCTCTCCTACCGCATTTCATTCATCCCTTTCGCCCTTTCAAGGGAGTAGGCAGTGGTGAATAATTCCAACTCCAATAAACCCTGATTGGTGCTCTTCGACGTACCCCTCGGCTCCGAGCTTGTTAGGTTGGATTAGGTTCATTTCGGCATCCCAAGCAAATCCCAAGTGCCCGTGTCGGTGAATTAAGCTATAGCCTCCGTGCTTTGTCGGTAACGGCGCCAGCTGGAACCTATACCCAAGCGAGGTCTTCATTTCGCGGAGTCAAGGGTCGGTTCGGTGGCGAGTACCTCTTCGGTCCTTCGATCCTTTTGAGTGGCTAAATGTTTGTATTTAGCCTGCGGGAAGTACCTATATCACGGTTCGACACGCGCTATATTCCCTTTATGTAAGATCGCCTGTACACGAGGACGAAATTGGGATGTCCAGATCAACGTTCAGCTTTGGAGGAAGTACAGCTTTCTCTGGTCTATGATCGAGCTTGCCGGACCCCAAACAGGCATTCAGCTACCCCATCGTCGCCAATAAGACAGTCGTGCAGGAGCCAAAACCACGAATCGTATCAGCTTGTGGTAAGTACGTTCATGCACCACGAAATGATTTTTGCTTACTGTTATCCATCCTTTTACGCTAGGTATCGCCGAGACACGGTTTCTCCTTCACTCGCAATCAATCCCTTCGAGGCCAGGCAATAGTTGCGTACGCTACCTTGACACTCGATGGCGTATCTCCCAACAGTACCTGACAATTGTACACGCTCGTAAGGGTGCTGTACGTTTTCCGCATGTTCTGGAACAGCACCTAGGTACAGCTCAGCTTGGAACAGCACATGCTGTATCTGCTGTGATAGGCCATCTACCTTCTCCGACCCGCTGCCTTCCCTCACTGCCCCGTTTCTGATCGAGTCACACGCGCCACCAATGCTGCCAGCGACACGGAGATAGTAAGGCTTCTGCCACGCTCATGGGATCAGCCGGAACTTCACATTGGATTCCACGCTGTGCACTAGCCAGCGTTTGTTATCGAAGCCAATTTTCAAGAAGTTCTCCGGACTGTACTGTTCTTGGTCAATACAATTGCAGTTCACTGCTTTACCGACATTCTTCTCCATTCCTTCTCCTGTTTTCCACCAGTTCAGACAGGGAATCGCAGCCGATACCTGCCTGTACCTTGTCGTTCGTACAACCACTCCGTATCCTTTGGCGTACCATTCTGAGCCTGGAGTATCTACATTTACTTTGCCTATTGGTCTAGACTGCTGGGTTGGCTTCGGTGCCCCCAATGCTAGATGACTCGTCCTCCGTATCTGTTCACAATTGATGAGCGATGTCGCTAGCCGGACATTGGAGATGGTGCCTGTACCCAAACGAGGTGTTTGTTGCGTAGAGTGCGTTGGTAAGTACCCCTTCAGCCATTCCCCGCTTTCAATCGCTGAATGTTTACGTCTAGCCTACGGAGAAACCCATCACACGCGCTGTGATCACCTGTACGCGA